CCAATTAAAGTAATGTTTTTCACTTCCTTTTTAGTTTATTGATTCATTCCATTTCCAGGAAGAGCGCACTATGACCAATCAAAGATTACCTAATAAAATGCTGTACTGGAAAAGATTGGCGTTAGCGGTGAGATTCGAACACACGATCTCCGAGCGTTGCTATGTTTACCTTAAATTCCTGATCATCGTCTGAGGGATGGTTAGCCAGTAACAGGTGTCTGCCAGTTAGAGAATAAAGTGCCGGAATGCGACTCTTGCAAATTGTTCTGACCTATAATTAATTGAGAGGTACACTGTACTATGGTGATTGGAGGCCCGTCCAATGACGATTTATCTTTCCACGAACTTCAAGGAAGTCTGAAAGACATTTTTGGTTGGTCCGTGCCTCGATTGCTTATGCCTAATGTTTACAAATGTGTTGATGTTCCTTTCAACATCAAATCTGGCCCCTGCTATCAAGCTGCTTTTATTGATTTACCTGACCTCGTCGTTAACAGTCGTCATTTTGAATACCTCGGTGCCGTTCTATCCCACAACCTCTCTTTGATTAAACCATATGGAGAACGGTAACAATAGGGTTGGTAAGCTTTCTTTTTATGCGTTCAAACTTAGGAATCTTACTGATCCCCCAAATGCGATCTTCAATTATGTGGTCGCATGCTATACTGTTCCCCTGTATTTTTTCCGGTCTAAAAGACAAAGATTTCATATTAATTTCCAGATCCATAAAATCACTCTCTTGATGTAATGCACAGCAACAATGTCCTGGTAGATTTCACTATGTGCAAGCATATTCATGAATGTGAAGGAATAACTGATAGAATATTGAACAACGAAGATCGCTGCTTGCGCAACAAACTTTTTAAATCCATGTCCAACCCTCGCCCGTTCGCATTATAAGCTCCTTCCCACACACGCACATCACATACAGAAACATTATTCTCCCTTTTCCCCCTTTTTTAGTGAACCGGGTGTCACTTACTTCAGGTCTAGTGGAACATTTTATGAGGTAATTTACTTATTCATTTTTAAGCTATCATCATCATCGTCTTCTTTCTCACAGTGCGCTGTCGTTTCTGTTTACCCCCTTCACGCTCTTTTGCCCTTCATCCCGCCCTTCCCCATTTTCACTGCCTTCTCGTGAAAATCGCTGAAAATTCCTCATTCGGGTGCATCAAGCTTAGTTTGAGTTGACTTACCTATAATACCATTGGTCTATGCTAACCGCTCTCACGCACGCACGCCAAGCCAGGCCACTCAGACGTACTCTATCATAAGACCGAATCGCTTTAGCCAATACAATTTCAGTACTGGACTGTCTGCTATGATTGATTCGTTGCTTGCTTGAGTGCCCCACCTGACCGTACCTCGACTGCATGTAATGCCTGTGCTTGCCTTCGGTAATTCCCTTGCCCGCATGCTTTGCTCGTCTACGTGTCCATGGATGTACTGCTGTGTGGCGTACTACGGTGATTAGTCATGCTAGAAAACGAAGTTACTTGCTTAATATATGCTTTGCTACAACCACGTGCATAACATAAATGAACAGCAAAGTGGGACCAGTAGCCAAGCCTTTCGTCATTTAAATCATCCGCGCAACATCTTTGTGTTAATGTCCTGAGTCCCAGAGTAGGGCTCAAGTTTACAACTTCGTACGGTTTCGGATTCAAATTCCTGGTGCATACGCGATCATGCAATACATCTCGTAGTGACAAGATAGTTTACCCCATTGCATACGTCAAACAGTCTGAATGGCTCTAGGATTCCGGGTGAACAAAAGCTCGGTTCGATTTGGTATTCGATCCGAGCGCAAACCGTAATAAACCTCAACACACAAGTGCTAATCACGTGCACATGAATTGGCCAATCAAAGTTGGTTCTGTTATAAAAAGATGAGAAAGTATTGTTATTGCAGTAAGAGATAAGAGATGTTTGTCGTTAAAAACACCTACATGTAACTTACAGTAAAAAATGACTTCCTCCATCGTTCATCATTTGTTTACGCGCTCCCATCTCGTGCACAAGCGGCCACTCACTCTTAACAGATTCCTGTCCCCAGATATCGTGCCTTTTCACGTTTACTCTTACTCCAGACTGTTAAGCTACGGAACACTTTCATACTCTGTCTCCTAATTCGCTTACAATCTTTTGCCCTTTAAATACACGCTCAATAAACTGGTTATTTAGTGAACGTCGAAAATTGCCTTAATTTCTATTTCCAATTCTATTTTTCTTTATTCATGCCACTGAATGAAATTGAAAAATGGTCAAAAAACTGTTGCTGGGTCCAATTAATGTGGGACTAAAGACACGCTGTTTAGTGCTGCGACGCGAAGCAAAGCGAATTACTCACTGTAAATAACACAAAAATGATTTGTATTGCATTATTGTGTTCATAAAGTAGCAACTGGTTAATCGAAACAAATCAAACGTGTGTTCGAAACCCACCGCCGCCGCCTGACTCCCCATTGTTTGTTGTACGACTGGCATTTGATTGGCAGCTTCCCCTTTCCCGAAACTGTATCTTTTTATATTCAATGAAAGAAAGTCCCCTCTATCTATTTACTTAATACAGAAATAAGACAAATGTTGCGAGATGGTAATGTTCTCAATCACTGAATTAAAACAAACCAGCACACATACAGCACATGGATTTGTTCAATTATGGTGAATGAACGTGTACAAGCATACGAAGATTATAATATATAAAAGTAGAAGTTCAACTCCGGGGTGGATCTTTTGTACAAATAAGGTTGGGTGACTTAATCGAATAGGCATCCTTTCACTAAGTGAAAAAGATTTAGCATTGCGATTAAGTAATGCTTGTTTAAAAGACGGATCGGGGTCAACTGTGTCCTGTTTTCATGAGATGTTTTGCAACAAATGACCCTGGATTTCTTGTGATCACTTGACCATCAGTTATCGGTTGCGTCATCGATTTCATCAGCCACTTTGGAATATGGTCGGTCATCCGTCGTGTGAACTGACGGTTTGTTCTGCCTAGATATGCGCCACCGCAAGTGTAAGTGAACTGGTATAACGTGTGTGAAATGGAACCGATGTGTCAGTCATGTTTACGTTTGTCCAAGTCGATTCCACGAGTAGAGGCAACGAGTTTGAGTTGAGCAGCTGGGTATCTGCGGTCTAGAGCTGACCCCAACTTATGGCGCACCTCATAGTAAATGTGGTCACTCTGGATCACAAGCTTTAAGTAGATCGCGTTTTTGTTAACGATTGAGGTTGGGCTACCTTTTGGGAATGGTCTACTGTGAATATCTATAAACCTCTCTGGGTTACCATTGTTTAGCAATGTTCTCCTCAGGAAATCCTCTCCTTCCTTTAGTCTATCGGGAGGATAAATGTTTCTTGCCCGACCAAATAAGGTTCTCACCAGCCCATGGAGGGAAATAGGGAAAAGTGTAGCTATTAACCATTCCCTGTCATTTTTCGGTAAACTGAGCGTTGTTATATCCCATTTATTCGCCTCGTAACTTGTATATGTAGAAACGCTAGACTGTTGTTGGTTTCTACTCCATGAGATACAGAGATGGACTGGTTAAAATATTTTAAAACATGTTTGAAAGAATAATAACGTTTGTACAGCATGAACTTGTTTTTTTTCTCACTCATTCCTAGAAACAAATCTGCCAAAATGGGACTTAACAGACTGCCCATAGCCAAGCCATTAATCTGTGTGTGTGTGTGTATGGCTACTTCACACTCAAATCGAATGATTTCCGTGCATGTAGGAATAAGGCCTCGTAAGTATTCAATGTTCAATATTATGGAGAATATTGTTTGAAAAAAAACAATTTTTTTCATAAGGTGGTACAATACTAAAAAGTGAATCCATATCTATCGAATGAATTCTCCATAGGGATACTATCATGTTTCCCAAACTATTATTGAATTCAGAATTATCTTCCACGCACTGAGACATAAGAAACTTACGGATGAAGTCAAGGATGTCTAGCGACCATCGAATAAGCATGTGATAAAGTGCGCTTTGCATGCACAAAATTGTCCTGAAAGAAGTCCGAAGTTTTTAAACTTTTGGCTTTAATTTTTTGTATTGGACCTCGGAAATGTAACCATAAAACAACAAATTTCTTCAGCTTTCTTGCGATTAGGCCTTCGGTGAGCTGGTTGTTCTCCTGTGTATTGTCGGCCTGGCATTTTCCAGTATCTGAAAGTATTTTGTTCATTTTGGCAAGGTAACTTCTGTTATAATTACCGTTCTAATTAATTAATTTTAAATTTTGATTAAATCAAATTAGATTTTACTTGATTTTACATTAATTAACCTTTTTGACACAATCAATCCACTTACTGTGTAGTTGACAGTTCACTTCTATATTTAATAACATTTGTATGCTTGTACTCATTCATTCACCATACCTGAACAACCTCATGCGCTATATATGCGCCTGTTTGTATTAATTCGGCGATTGAGAAGGTTAACATCTCGCAACATTTAGTTCTGTATTGAGAAGAAAAAGAGACAAGTTCATCCAGTCATATTATTCCCAACTTAGCCGTGGCGAGCATGATTAGTCCGAAATACTGGCTACTTATTGGTCTTCGCAACATCGTAATTCATAGCTGTCTCTCTCTCTCATAGGCGTTATACCGTATAACGTCTACATGACGTAACTTAGTGACTTTCAGTTCACGTAGCCAAGCGTTTTTAGCGTGTCTGTTTAAAAATCCCTGATCTCCGTACTTATGCATTGCTGACGGTCTTTGTTTCCTTTATGAGTATCGAACCCCGGGGCACTGCAATGAATAATTTACCTATTTGAACACTTGAATACTGAAATGAAATATATGTGCCCGGCTACTAGTGCTTCTCTTTATTGAGCAACACTTTGAATTTGCATAACGAACATAAAATGAACACAATACCCCCCTCCCAGAGCTTTTTCCACTGTAACTGGTCACTTTATATGAAGCTATCGCAACAGCTTGGTACAAATCATGACTCAGATCTCCGTTACGCCATGAAAATCCCGGATGCGTCGGTGAGTTGCCCCCCCCCTCCCTCTTCTAAGAAAATAAAAACAACTTACAGTGCTCTTTATTCACTACTTGCCTCGCCAAACAAAACTGAAATCGAGTTGAATCAATCGGTATCATACTGAATTCAGCTAACCAGGCATGCAAGGTATAGCACCCCAGGGTAAATTGTCAGCGTCAAGCGTTCACATAGTGGCGGTCGATTATTTAGCCATTGTCATCGTCTATATGATGAATCTGTCGTCTAAATGAGGCGTAAGGTGAAAATCTAGGAAGCACTGGACAGCTGTTTCAACTTGGTTGGGTCTCATTAACAGTGCAAACCCATCTAGCCAACTGGGGATCGAACCCAGGACCTCACAGGCTGAACGCAAGCATATTACCCACACGGGCACCGGACAGCTGATCCGACCGATTGTCATTTAAAGTATACACGATATTGTACAACTCATTTTTGTGAGCTTGCTGCGGGTATCAGTCCTAGCTCATCTCAGCACTCCCCTTCAGGGCTATGACTCAGCTGGAAACTTTCATAACGTGACTATTTGTTGTATGTATGGAAATTGTCATCGTCCTGAACTTCCGTGGCCACTATTATTACAATATTCTTAAAAGTTGTCCATTTCCAAGTTTTTCTGTCGTTATTATGGTCAATAGTGTCAGTGATCATGTTGCTTTTTTCAGGGGCTTTTGTTTAGCTCTTGAACGTTTTCTCGTCAGGATAGAGTGGAAACGCCATCGGAACTTTGAATACAGTGTCTTGTTCTGGTGTCTCCGTTTCAGTTCCAAGATAAAATAACTTCCTATGCCCATAGGCACATTTATCATCATGTGGCCAATTCTGCTTATCCCGGAACCAGTCGATACACTTTGGGATGTCTGGTTGCCGTAACCTGATGGGAATTGAACCAAATAACCTTTGTCATGCTAGTCACACACGAAATTAATAGTTACTGCAGGGTGTCAAGTATTCCTAAGATAGTAAATTCTCTCTTTCGAACTAAACATTATCGGTCAGAATGAGGTTGATCGACTTTTGCAACCCCCAAGTTCGGCTGCGCTTGAAGGTCACGACGGTACAGGAGATATTGCACTCTACTGACGAAACGTGTGTTGGAAACGATCTAACTGTTTGAAACTCTACACCATTGAGAAACCGCGTTCAAACGACCGGCCCGCATGACAGCACGCACGGTGAGTCAGTAGAACACACGTCCAGCCGCTTTAGTGATGCATTGCTTCTCCGTTGATCAGTTTCCTGTGCCAAGTGAACACCGGACAGTCGACATGCATGCGGCTACGCGTACGTCAACTGACTCATTTACGCGCACGTGGTTGACTTGTCTACGCCTGAGAGAGCGACCTACTGACAGATGCGTCCAGACATGCATTGCGTGCGTATGTTCTCGCCTCGGTGCGTCGGTGTTACGCATCGATCGATAAGTCGTGTCTGTCTACCGGAGCTAGTGGCGACCTGCCTGTCCTACATCCACCCCCTGCCTCTAAAACGCCCCTGTGTATAGATGATGCATGTTGAGAGGTGGGGGGAGGGGTGATTCGTGAATAGCCTAACCTAACTCCTAGCCCTGCCCGGCGTGGACTGAAGCGACTGGCTGGCTGCCCGACTGACCAATCACAGAGCGATTTACTCGTTCGCTCGTCCTAGATCGCAGCTGTTCGACAGGCGCAACGCACTGTAGACGGCCCTCGTCACCCGAGCGCAGCTGGGTTGTCTTAGCGGTCTGTTTCGTGTCATCTTGTCCTAGCGATCGTGCCATGGAATGTCGGATCACGTGGATCGTGGCACCGCAACTTTGCCTGGTCTTCACCATCGCATTTGCAGCGTGAATCGACCGTGTACTCACAGCACTTGTCACACGCATAAACGTGCAGTGTTTGATGACTTATATGTGACTCAAACTCAGGCTTGGCAACCTTTAACCACGGATTTATCTCATACGGATTTATTGATTAACGAAAACAACTCCGACAAGAACATAGATTCGGAAGCAGCAAACTGTTCGCGGAACCGTAATTGGTAAGCTGACATTGTAGTTGTTGGATCAAGGTGGAGAACGCTGCACATTTTAGCATAAGCATTACCTTTTATCGTGCTGATTTTTTATCCACAATGAAATCTTTTCATATGAGTGAGGTACTGGAGGTACTCGATAAACTTTTTTATTTTTTAGTTGACTGTAAGAAAGCAGTCATCACGATTCCTTCAGTAACGACATGCGGGAATAGGACGAAGTCGTATGTTTTAGATTGAAATCTAAATACCTTTAGAACTATCAGTTCATTTGTGATTTCCAAAATCGCTCAAGGTCATGATTTTTACTAGTTCTTTGCAGTGTGGACATTGCGCAGTGGTAGTAATCACACTGTTTCATTACCCCCCACACACGCTTCATTCAGTCTTTCCTCTGAAATTCAAAAATATTCGTATAATCATAGCTTTTGGCCCTAGTTAAGTGCTGTTTCTCCAAGTGGTGACCTTAGGTGTGGCCTGCCTGCACTGAAAAATTAATCCACTGGAGAAGCACTCCACCGTTGTGTATCGAAACTATTTATAAACTAGTAGTTCTGGTGCAGGTGTAAAGCTTGTACGGCCACGGATAGGTGCAGTCATCTAGAGATCTTTTCTTTAGTTTTCACTTAAATATTTAAATAGCTGACTTTCGAAACAGTCCCGGTGTTTCCCTATGGTTGTTGTTTATGGGGGTTCTACCCGGCGGCAGTTGTCTCATAAATGCATCCTGTTTAACAAGATTGAAATTCATGCCTTCGCACCATAAAATCAAACTTCTCTCCAGGTATATTCAATTCACCTAGGTATATAATCCTAGCGAACAAGAGAATTGTTTGTCCCAGTGAGCACGAAGTAGCGTGCGAGCTCTTTTTTAGTGTTTCATAATTGCAAATAAATATGGCCTTATTCTGTTCCCGAAAAAGTTCTCGGAAATATATTATCCGTTCAGTCTGCCAAACAGTGGGTCTTCTTGTTGGTGTCCATGTATGTAACTGAATCCTTTTATTCTGTATCACGATGAGATAGGCCTACTAGAACCTTTTCACTTACCTTAGTCTATCTGAGGAATTTTTCGAGTAGAAAATCACGTTTAACTTTGTCAATGGTTGTGAGCCGAATGGTGCGTTGCTGTTTTATTTGTCTTATCGGAAAATAAACCCCTAGATGTTTCAGAATATCAGGTAGAACTTGATTCATATGGACTCTGTTGAAAGAAAACCCCCTGTTTCAGTGCATGGTTATCGTGTGATAGTTTTGAGATTGTGTTGTCTTCACGTGACTATCGGGTTTAGTATGCGAGTGTTTTTTAGAAGATTTGATCACAGCGATTTTCACGGAACTATGTTGCGGAATAGATAGTTAAACATCCGATACTAAGCAAGTTACGTTGCCATGAAAATTCGCCCTTTGAGTGCATAAAGCATTTCTTGACTTGAATTGACTCTGTACGTTACGAGCATAAACCGGCTTCATGGGTATCCCGAATTGCAGCTGCCCACGCTCGGCAGTCGGCAGCAAGATTGTGATCCAACCGGACTTTTATTGTCAAGTGCCATGTACGGAGCAAAAATCAAGATGTTCTGCGTTATCGCGTATTGTGTCTGACCAGGTTTTCAGTTGGTTACTGAAATCAATCTCTAGGGTTCATCCCTGGAAAAAATATCATCAGAGTGAGCTGTATAGACCAGACCAAATTACTGAGATGGGATTCGGGAAGACCTTCCACTGGATAGTTTACTGTTAAAATGTTCGTAGAGTTCTCATGTTTACTTCTTTTTTCAGCTGGTCGACATTATTTTTGTTAAACAATTACTGTAAATGTGTCAGGTTAGCGTTTCTCTAACGCAATGGCATAATGCGAGCTTTAAGGGCTGAGGGCCATTCCTCAGTGTTTTGGTTGATATAGTCTAACACTCATAAATAATAATACGCTCGTTGTATTCTCAACGGTTTCGCTCATCGGGTGTACCGCAGATCAACCCAGAATCAACAATGCCAGCGGGAGGACACGTGAAATCATAGGCGGACCAGTGGAAGAACGATATACGGTCGTCCCCTGTCTTGGGACGATCAGCGTAATACACAATACATAATGAAACACCTTGGTTATGAATTGCCTCCGCTCAGCAGGACAATATTAAGAGCTACGCTTGTGCAAACCCATTTTTACTGGATAAAGGTAATTACATCAATTTCTTGGTAGCTGATTGAGACATCCATTAAACTGTTTGATTGGGCTGGGCCATATTGCCAGCTTTCGCCACCCTTTGCAATCTCCAGCGCAGTGCGGTAAGATTTCTCCATATCCTCATTCCTCTTCAAATGGCATTAAGGATTTTCTAAGTAATTCTTTGTTCCGTCTAACAGGTGGTGGAACGAAACTCTTTTTCGGGAACGGAGTTATTGATCTACGATGCGTTTATCCTTCTCTATCACTATGACGTGAACCCCACTGATTGCTACCAGTGTTGTGCGTTTACGTTTTCCTCCTTATTCAGTTAGGGTAGTTATTTTTCCACCATAGAGTCTCTATCAGTCGCAAAGCAACCAACTATTCCACATGAAGAGAAATCATTAGCTCAGCAACCAGTTGTCACCTCATCAACCAGTAGCCTTCCTGAAAGATCTTGTCAGTCTCTGTATATACAGTATATACAAGTAATAGAGCGCAAGACGCATCAAATGACTGGTGAAACTGGATTCACCTCCCCGTTCCTGCATTGCGTTTAACACGATAGACTGATCCACAGAGCATGCACCTGACTTACGATCTTCCCATCACCTGCTGCATTTCTTGGTTCAATCTGTCTCTGTTTGCTCCGATTAGATCACGCCTCAATTCACATCAACGATTTCACTTGATGCTCACGAGGATTACCTACATGCGTGTGTTTTGATTGAGAATAGAGGATACTCGAAGTGTGGTGGTGTGTCGGGGGGGGGGAGATAGTTAAAGTGTTCTGTAGTTAGCCCATTTTCCACTCCCTACTTATTCAGCTCCGATAACCTCCATCTCTGCTAATGAGTGCCTTCAACTCAAGCCGTTTCCTGAATGAAACCCCCAGGGACGCACAATCTTTTCGGATTATTTTTCTACCTCACCTCGCAGTGTCCAGTGTGCGGTCGCCATCGCACACTTGAATGCGTTAAGGAGCATTGGTTTGAATACAATCTCGCAGTTGATTTCCTTCAGATAGATATATAACTTCCCAATCAATCCTCAGTTTTATTTTTCTTTAGATGAATGATAATAAATATATACACACGACCAGATGGGGTCGATCACCACATCGACCTTGACAGACTAACCCGCGATTGGTGTGATCTTCATGGCACAAAAATGTAGTCGTCACTATTTCGACCATCGGTTAGTCGATTAATTTCGTCACAGGATTCACATACCTCTATTTGCAGTTGTGAGAGAAGAAAAAGGAGGCTTAGAAAAATACTCAGCTTCATTTCCCACTGCCTGTAATGAACAAATAAACAAAAGATTTTATTCATGCAATTCTATTGAAATGAAACAGATAAATACTATTTACCCTCGATGATTAACTTTTAGAACTTTCATTCAAATCATTTGCATCAAATGTTCTCAAAAGATCCTTCTCACCATTGATCTTACTTAGCTTTCAACGGCATTTCTTTTCCATCTCCACAAACTGCAATCTTTCCATAGGTTACCTCATCTAACTTTTAGCCTGTTATTCATACTTATTCTCCATGAGCAATTCGGTCAATGCGATTCGTTGATATTGAGAACATACATACCTCCGTCACGTGACACTTCCTGAATTACACATCACCTTGCTGTCCTTCAAAATGTCTTCATTGCTCACGTTTAGTTGTTTCAGTATTCCACTTGTGTCACACCTGCTAATTTGTTTTCGATGTAGGGAACTAATTGGTGGGTGCACCATTTACTGCGGTACCCGGATCTTTGATATTCTCGTGCCAGTCGATCTCAACCGGGATGGTGTAGGCAATGAATAACTGATGCGCTATTTTTTGCCCACAAAATATCTAGTGGATTGGATGAATAAATTATTAAAGCCGTACGATGGGCAACTGTACGTTGTGCTTTCACTATCTTTTTATTTCTGTATTTCTGTTGAACTATATCGTGTAATGGAGAGGACTCAGTGCTTGCGCGGCTTGTTTACTAAGCTCCTTTGGTATGATTTTTTCTACTGTTCGGTTATCAATAAAGATTTTTCTTATTCCAAATATCTCGTGTGAATTGACCCGTGATCGAATTCAAACCGTTCGTAGTCATGTCCGGGGCTTCTATAGTCTAGCGCCGATCAATTTTGTTGCCATTTTATCTTTTTATTGGGTGCCTTGGCGGGCTAAAGGATTGCACAAAAACGCTGTTTGGTTGTGAAGTTCGACGGCTCGTGCTTTCGGACCTAGATTGGGAACTTGTCCTGGCGATGCGTAGCGTGTGGTAGCTGCGTTGTCCGAATTAATACCACGCCTGTCCTGTTCGATCTAAATGTGGTTCGTCACTCCCGATCGCACTGCTTAGGTTGTCGGTTGGTAAAATAGTGTCACCTACATTTAGAGGATTCAGTGTGTGTACAGCTGCGGAATAACCTGCAATTCTGACCATGAGCCAGGAGTACACGCAGCCCATTTTTTACAGGTTCTCCCCGTATATTGCTTACCTTGTGCTGTTTTGGTAGGAAGTATTCCTCGAACGCTATCGCCGGTGGGCTTTGGGTCTGGGGTTCGAACCCCATCGCTGCCAGCCGACTTTGGTGGTGGGCAGCTTTGTTGTCGCCCGAGTCAGTACCGCACCTATGCTAATGGGGCCTTATGTGGCTCGCCACTCTAGGTCCCTGAACCTAGGTTTCCTGTTTCCAACAGGTCCTCGTGAAATTGCGATTCACCATGTCTGTTGTTCATCACACGAAGTTTTAAGTAACTGTGGTGGCCCACTGGAGCGAGTGGTCGACTTCCATAGATTACGTTGGTTGGGGCATGTGTTACACATGTCACCAAAT